GAGAAATTTAAGAGAAATTGATCGATGATGTACCCTGTACTCAGCCACAACTTCTTATAAACATTCCTACATTAGATTATCCAAGAAGCTTGCGTATTTCATTTCCAATGTGGTTTTTCTGGTCAACCCAAAGACACATGTTTTTCAAAATTAGTCGCAACTTCTTCTAAACATTCCATCAGTTTTTGAAGGTTCCAGCGGTAAAACCTTGGACTAGTTCCGACGAGGTATGATTAACCATGCTCTGGTGAAAAAAAAGAAACAGAGTTAGAACTGGAAGCCGGTTTAACTAATTTTTGTCGACTAGACCTCCCATTACGCAGGCTTGAAATTCAACAAGTTTGCAATAAAGTCAGTTTTGAAGAGTGTGTAGTTTTGTACAACAGACAATTTCCTTTCTAATTGTGCGCGACATTGTTTGGAAATATGAAAATTCAGAGGGGAAATGTCCGCCTGAAGAAAAACGGCATTACTTTCCGGACAACCTGAAAGTTGATCGAAAAATAATTAAAATTAGAAGAATACAGACTCATTTCGAAGCCGAGTAGGTTCTCAATAGGTAAAATATAAGTTACCTTTGACCATTCGTCAACATTCCGTCCTCCTCCACTTCTTCGAATCGCGTTTTGATGGCAATCAATGTGCACCATCACCATTTGGCTTACGGTAGCCAACTGGGGTATACGAGCGTCATTGGTAAGAGGTGACGCAAACGCATAGCTGAAAAATATAGGGTTTAAAAGAAGGCAAACACAAACAGAAATCACGAGCACCTCTGTAGGAAAAGGGAAAAATAACGAAGTAAGTATTGGATGAAGTAGTAAAACAAAACAAGTAACTCACGCAGCTGCCACTCGGGTTCCTTGGAACAACGGTTCTCGACAAATGCAACATGACGCGAGCGGATCGGTCACCCCTTCGAAGAGCTGGCTCGTTTGCTATGCGCCTGTGAGGCTACCTATAATAATTACTTGATAATTACCCGTCTTACGACTATAGAAAGTGACTCAAATTACTACATTTTTCAGCACTTCTTTTCATTGGCACTACATACCTAAGGCTTACCCTGCATTCACAGCTCTATAAATCAGCTTTCTCCTGTCTGCTTCCTATGCCTCGTTTTCCTCCAGCCTGCTGTGCCTGCTACTCTCATGCTCTCTTATTTCACCTAGTTTCATCCCTTGTTCAGCTTCACTATCCATACCTCTCTCTTTCTGTTCACTTCATTCTCTCTCTTTCTATTCACCCCACTCTTTTTCCTCCTTTTTTGCCCGTCTTCTTTATTAGGATATTTTTCTTCATTTTCAAGCTCTTCCTACATCTTTCTGAGCCTCGAAGAAAACGAGAGGAGCCAGACCTTGAATCATTTCGCTTACATCTCAGACAAGAGATTACAAAGTAACTCGAGTGAAAAGCAAGGGAAAACTCAACACAATTTTCATTTACCTTCACTTCACCCGATTTTCCCATTTGCATTCCCATTTCACGCAACTGCTTATTACGCATTGCCATTGCCATCTGACGTTTCTTCTGTCGGGTTTCTTGACGCACATTCTCAATCTGAGCCGCTACCTTGAAAGAAATATAACTGTTACCAAAATGAACTTCAAAAGAAAAAAAATCAAAGATCAAGTAGAAACAGCCGCTTGAGCAATTGGCTAGAAGCTCAACTGGAACACAGACCTCAGTATTCTCTTTCAAAGCCTCGACAACATTCTCAGCCATAGTACCAATGGAGTTGTCGGAAGCCACCTAAAACCTCAGGATTACGAGTTTTTACTACATATTGTTATCATATAC